TCCAAATGCGATATTTCTGTTTGATTGGCGTTGATCCTAGTATTGAGTAAGGGGTCCTCTAAATGACCCACCCTCCTACGAAATTATTAGCGGCCGCTTTCATAACATACTCTCATATTCTTCCGCCCCTAAATCAGAAAATCTTCCTTTGAATATCGTCAAGAGCATCTGTAGTCGTTTTTAGAACTATCTTGAAACTCAGTAAGTTCCATTTCTTCAGAGTTGCAACGATTCCGAAGGAGACAGTGTCCGCTCGTCAAGCTCGTCACATCTGCAGTCGAGCCCGAAACAGTCATCAGGCTGGCCCTTGGACGACTCGTCCCTGATGTTCGAGCCACTTTTTGACACTTCCGCCTACAACCCATCGCATGTCAATCACGATCGAAAGCACTTTGACGTGTGTTTTGACCGTCCAACAACCACAACACCGGCGAATCGCCAACCCCCAAACTCCACCCACCAACAAAAGCTCTACCACGTCTCCCGAATACAATCTGATCCATGAACTTCTCAAATTGAACATTCGCCAGCAACCTGATTGGTGCCAGACCGAGCCGACGATGACCGCCGGTCAGCGAGTCGAAGCTGCATCCTACCGTCCGCAGCCAGCTGCTCACCCACAGCCGCCACAGCAACAGCCAATTCAACGACCGTCACAAATGCCGTCAGAGGTGTGGAATACGCGGCAACAGGACGTGGATGTGGACGTCTTCTCGCAGATGAACAACAACGACGTCAACTACTATCTGCCTCGTATCAGCCAGCAAGTACAGCGCGATGCGATTCTGCGACGTAACAATGCCGTCATCGAGTCACACGCTCGTCTTGAAGAATGCTGCGAGGAGTATAGGCAGCTCGAGAAGGAACGGAAACAAACCGAAGCCGAGCTGGCCAGGCACAACCTGGGCAAAAAGATAAGGTAAGCGCTTGTTACTAAGCTCTCATTGTGATTGATAGGATTATTAATTTATTAAAAGCTCGATCAATAATGATCAATATGTTATGTTCAGCTCATCCAACGGTCTGCCAATTCCACGTCTCCCGACGGCACCTTCTCGTGTTGATCGGCTGATTGTCGACTTCTTCCGCGAGCATGCTCGAATCACCACGTTGCTTTCCAAAATGGAACAACTTCGCTCGGCTCCATTGCCGAGCCCGGTTCATCAGGCGCTCAAAGGTTTGTTTCTCGGGCCTATTTACCTTCTGATCATAATTCCCTACGGGCGCAGTTCGGCGATGGGGGAGTGGAATTTGGCACTTTCGTCTCACTCTGGTGAAACCTGTGAACTCGCGTGAAGCTGGAGCAAGCTCTTCAAACCATTATACTGTCAGATCAAGTAGAGGCTGTCTAGATGGGTTTATTCGTCGATGAGACGTAGCAAAAGAGCAAGTTCCCCCCGTCGCCGAACTGTGCCTTCCCCACGATAGACAAAGGCCTAAAACCCCCGCACAGTGGGGATAGAATTTTGGTGCCCAGCCATTGGACGAACTATGTTGGAAGCAGGATCATCTGTTACTACTTCACCGCAGGCCTGTTACTACTTCACCGCAGGCAGTCTAAACTAGTTAGAGGAGGGGCAGGGGACGAGATTAGGCCGTACTCATTCCCTTCACATACACATTCAGAACGGCGTAAACCAGCCTCAAGAAATACCATCATATTTGGAGAGCGCCGATCCCTAGTGTGATGAACAAGGGAAATGTCAGGGCTATACCCTCAGGAATGTTTTTGTAAGGGGAAACTGATCAAAGGTCCCTAGCCTCCAACTTTTTCTTCGCCTTTTCTTGACCGGAAGACAGCCATAATCCGATCAAGGTAGCGTGATTAGGTCACGCCTATTCTCTGTTCGTCTGCGCTTTCACCGGCGTCAGTCGAACCCACCAAATACTACCTCGTTGAGATGGCACAGACGAGCAGAATGTGGGCGTGGCCTTGTCTCGCTGCCAGTGGTCCTTCCCCCGTCTACCTTAGCGCCCTAGGTAGTTTTCAGAAAGCAGTTTCTGCAACGTAATCATTTCAGAACTCCTCGAAGCAGTCACCATTCTGCAACACTGCCGACATCATGAACGCACTGCCATTTTACAACAGCTTCGAGGCGAGACCGTCAGATATGATGAGGAAAAAGGTGAGTCAAAAATATTATTATTAAAAAATTATCAGCGATAAAAAAGTGATGCTAACGTAGTTGAACTGGGCAGCGCGGCAGCGTCTCTGCATCACTTCCATTGCCGGCCTAACGCTGGAGAAATTTTCGGAAACGACCTCCCCCTAATTTCCTCCTATGGTACAACTTCCCCACCCCTTCTATCTCTTACCCACTATCTTGCCAACTTTACCCAGCTACCCACCACATTTTCCGAAGTTTTCCAAAATTTTCTATTTTGTCCCAAGATTTCGCCACCCAGCGGAGGGGGTGGGGTGGGTGGCACGTGAAAGCCGCGAAAAAGAACACCCGGAAAACTCTTCGCGACGCGGCGAACTTCTCGCCCTCTCCATTGGGACTTCCCAACGATGTGGATAGCGACCGTTGA